TACATTAGCTCTATTGTTTATAATACATTATGTATTTTTACAGTTTCGTTCAATAAAACCATATGTTTTAATGGTTAAATTAAATTTTATTAATCAAAAAGCCTGTCTAATTAATTGAGTTTTACAGTTTTATCTTTACCAAATTCTGTTTTCCATTATTTTCTGGATTCCATTTTAATGGTTCCATTAAATTTTAATAATCAAAAGCATCTCCAATTAATTGATTTTATATAAAAAATATATATTTTCTTTTTTTTTTCAGAAATACTGCACATTTACATTTTTCTCCCAAATAAATTCTGGTAAATAACATTTCTGGTAAATACTCCTTTAAAAAGTGTTTTTTGATTATAATTGTATTATTAGTAGACTAGAACACGTGGATATGTTGTCATTCTTACACTATAATACTGAACTTTGATTTCAGTGATTTGGACTATGAGATGGACACTTGCTTCTTGCACTCTATGTTGCACTTTACTTTTGCTTTAAAAAAAGGATTTCATAGAAATTCAGATTTCATTTGGTTTAATAAAATATTCTTAAGTAAAATTGTTGATTTTTTTGTGGGAAATTAATCGTTTAGATTAATCGATAAATTAGTCGATAGATTAATCGAAATAAAAATAGTCGTTAGTTGTAGCCCTAATTGACTTCCATAATATTTTTTTCCATACTATGGAAGTCAGTGACTACCAGCAACTGTTTGGCTACCAACATTCTTCCAAGTATCTTCTTTTGTGTTTATCGTTTTTCATTTTTGGGTGACCTATCCCTTAGGTTAGGTTATAGTATCTATGTCTAGCTGTAAATAAAAACAATAGAATGGAATGTCCCCATTTAGATACCTAAGTAAATGTGTGTGTTTTGTTGATGAGTATTTTCTGGTTGTAGAGTCCGGTGGTGAGAGTAATTCTGTGTGTTCTCCTCACTCGTCTTCTCTGCGGATCAAGTCCTTTGACTCGATCAACTGTTCTTCCACTCACAGGAGATCATCCAGACTCAAGTACAACCAGTACCGCAGTCTGGTGAGCTTCACGACCACTTCACACCCTAATAAATAAATAGAATAAAAAATCTAAACCGCTGGAAAACAGATTGAAATTATTTAAAAAAATATATTGTTAAATGTACTACTCAATTCTTTGTGTGTAACACCTTTTTGAGTACTTGGTACACGTGTAAATTGAGACCCCAGACAAATATGAAAGCCCGAAAGAGAAGCTGGAAGAAATTCTCTCTGTATTTGTTTTTCTCTTTCTGTCTAGGACATGTCTGAAAACAGTGCCCCTCAGGTGCTGGTGAAAGCACGGTTTAACTTTCAGCAGACCAATGAGGATGAGCTGTCCTTCAATAAGGGTGACATCATCCAGGTGACACGGCAGGAAGAGGGCGGCTGGTGGGAGGGATCTCTCAATGGCAAAACCGGCTGGTTTCCTAGCAACTATGTCAAAGAGATCAAAGGCTCTGGTTAGTATTTGCCGCTTTAAACCTCGAAAAAATTTAGTTGCAGAGGTTGAACCCTGACAAAAACTCTTGTAGGAAGAGAACTCCTGCAGGACCAGACAAGCAAAGTGAACTAGAAGATTTTGTGTTACTCATAGTCCTCTCATAGGCTGCCAAGAAAAGCAGAAGAGATTAAATTTTGTAAACCCTATTTACCTGCTGACTTTCTTCTGTGTCCTAGTGTTACCATAATATTTTCATAAAAGACCTGCTGGGTATGTGCATAGATCAGAAAATTGCTGCGGGCAGCTGCATGTTAGGCTGTCAGCACTTTAGCCAGCTTAAAATATTTGGGTGATATATTTTTTTAAAAGCCATATTTGTATTTGTTCTCTATGAGGCACTATGGCACTATGTGAACGTAAAATCTGCCCGGGTCCATTAAAGGGCGATTAATAGAGGACTTACAGGCTTAATGAAAATGTGCCAAAAGAGAACTGAATGGCAGCTCTCTGCAAAAGCCAAAAACTGTAGGATTATGTGACCATTACAGGCTTACAGTGGAAAAATGTGCGCTTGTTCAACCCAGGTTGGGTACAGGACCAGGTGCTGCATACAGGGTAGCAAACTAAGAATTAAAAGAGTAAATGGTAGGACGCTTCATCTGAAGACACCATTTGTAATGACAAAACCTTTTGTTTGTTTAGTTCTTTAATCAAATTTGCTGATCTAGTGCTTTAGATTTTAACTTTCCCTTTAAACATTTTCATCCCACCAAAAAAAAAAATAGACTTTTAAAAAATGTTTTTGAAAGAAGCCTCTTATGCTAACCAAGGCATTTATTTGACCCAAAATACAGTAAAAACTGAAATATTGGCAAGATTATTACAATATAAAATGTATTATAGAATATATATTTGAAGTGTCACATGATTCAGAAATCATTCTAATATGCTGATCTGCTGCTCAAGAAACATTTCCTATTATTATCAATGTTGAAAATAGTTGTACTGCTTAATATTTTTGTGGCAATCACAATAGGTTTTTGCATTATATCAAAGTTGGAAAGAGCAGCATTTTTTTAAATTTCTAATTTTTTTACTGTCAATTGTGATCAATTTAATGTGTCCTAATGGAATAAAACTCATTTTAATTTCTTTACAAAACCTTATCTCACTGTATGCACATTGTAGTATAAACACAACCCCCTGACCCTTGTTCTGCAGTCCAAACATAAATGGCATATACACCCCATGATGCCAAACAGATGCTTCCCTCTCATGTATGGGGAAACGACCTTAATGTGTATTCGACCCAGCTTGAATGGAAATAATTTAGGATGACATCAGAGCTTGAACATCCAGGACTTAACAGGAAGGAAACACCATCTAACAACAAAGACAGGAAGTGCAGCAGCCAGAAGACAGCACTTCCCCTTTCCTCTGAATATGGCTCCACACTCAAGTTTATTCCACTCTCTGAGCACTTAGTGATCCAGTCTCTTTTAGGATTTACTTGTGTTAAAAGCGTGCTGAACATTACTTGTAGTAGGCATTAATAGTATATTGATTTCATACATCATCTCAAAAATGGCTGCAGTTAGGAAGAGGGGAAGAGTGTAGTGTTCGTGATACATGCATTGTTTTCTTGGTGTTCAGATTACATGATTAAAGGGACAGTTCATCTAAAAATTAAAATTCTGTCATTTGCTCACCCTCATGTCATTTCAAACCTGTGCAACTTACTTACAGTTGTGCACAAAAGGAGAAGTCGCAGTTTTGGAACAAGATGAGAGTGAATATGATGACACAACTGTCATTTTTGGGTAAATTATTCCTTTAAAACTAGAATTGTTCAAATCTTCTGTGGAGATGTTGAGTTCTTAGAGAACTTGGGGAAGGGAAGGAAAAAAAAAATCCCAGATTTGCCAAGTAGAAAATAATGGTTTTCCTGTAAACTCTGATCTCCCCCTCTAGGTATCTAAATCTAATATTCCTGTCCTGACTGCTCACTGCAGGAGAGATGTACTTTAATATTCAATAACAGAAACAAAATGTTTTCAGATGTTGGTCTAAGGTGACCTCCTTACCTTTTGTTCTGTTTTTGCTCTCTCAAACAGACAAACCTGTGTCACCCAAGTCTGGAACGCTGAAGAGCCCACCCAAGGGCTTTGAGACCACTAACTTCTGCAAGACTTACTATAATGTGGTAAGAGAGATGTGCTGTAGTGTTGCACTAGCGGCATGTAACACCTCCCACATGGAACGAGTTGATTATTTATGATGTGCGTGGGGTGGAAGTGATGCCTCTGGGGAGTTTGTATTGCACAGATATTTCCCTAACCAAATAAGCAAGTACACACCACCAATTCTGCCTATACTTGACAGATAAGACTAAGGTTTAAAGATATTTGGAGTGATTGTTATAACAGCATTATGAATCATTTTAGAGGATTATGAAACACTGCAACATATTTTTGTGATTGTTTTAACAGACTTGTTGCATGTCTGTTTGTCTGGACCTCCCCTGAAATATTATTTTAGACTTAACTCTGAGTAACTTATTTAAATACAATATGCAAATCCTAATTGACATAAACATCAGTATGCCGATTACAAAGTCAATAATATACACTACCATTCGGAAGTGTGTGGCTGTAAGATTTTTTAAAAGAAAATAAATTGATACTTTTATTCATCAAGGATGCATTAAATTAATCATAAGTGACAGTGAAAATATTTACAGTATTGCAAAAGATTTTTTTTAAGTAAATACTGTTCTTTTGAACTTTATATTCATCAAGTAATGATGAAAAATGTATCATGGTTTACACAAAAATATTAAACGGCACAACTATTTTCAACATTAAAGGGTTAGTTCTCCCAAAAATGAAAATTCTGTCATTAATTACTCGCCCTCGTGTTGTTCCAAACCCGTAAGACCTTCGTTCATTTTCGGAACACAATTTAAGATATTTTTGATGAAATCTGAGGGCTCTCTGACCCTCCCATAGACAGCAAGGTAACTACCACGTTCAAGGTCCAGAAAAGTACCAAGATGATCGACAAAGTAGTCCGTGTGACATCAGTGGTTCAACTGTAAAGTTACGAAGCTACGAGAATACTTTTGTGCGCAAAGAAAACAAAAATAACAACTTTATTCCACATTTTCGTCTCCACTTTGGACACGCGTTCACGACAGTACTCGTAGCTTCGTAACTTTACAGCTGAACCACTGAATGTGCCTGAGGCCCTGCACTGTCTATGTTTGTGCATCTGTGTTGGTTATGTGTCATGTTTGATGAGAATGTGCAGTTAACTGACTCAACACTCCTCTGAAGACTGCGCAGGGCAGAGCGACTGAAGATGAAGAGTGTGTGTGTGTGTTTCAGGGAGGGCGCGAGTTTGAGGTCAGGCGGAGTTCAGTCTTTTACAGCAGTGTTTAGGGGAGGAGATCCATTCAAGTTAAGGACACAGTTTGAAATGGCCGTAACTGTCAGGCTGTCTAGACGTCCAGTGTTATAGTTCATGCCAGGGCTGCTTCCATGCATGTGTTTACAGACAAACTTTGTTCTTGGTCCTGGCTGATTCTTGAGGAAAGAAGTTGGCATTTTCAAGTTTAGACTGTTATGTGTCCTATCCTGTATCCATAAAAACGTATTTCTTGTATTTCAGTTATTGATCTGTCTTCAAACCCACATTAAATATGTGCAAGCAAATCTCTTCAGAAAGCTCTATTTCTGCAGAATTGTGTAATTACTTTAGAATTCTGTAAATTGATGGGAAAATATTAGTATTGATTTATTTAATGTTTTCTAAAATTTAAAATTTATGTAAAAAAATTTAAATTTGTAAAAATTCATTTCTACAAATAAATAAAAAAAATATTTTATTTATTTAAATGACCGGAACAGCAGGGAAAAATCCTTATTTTGAGCTTTATAAATATCTTTCCCACCTTTCTACATTTGAAATTTTAAATGTATTTTATTTATTTAATGGACTTGGCCAGCAAAAAAAAATCTGTAGTTTTGAGCTTTGTATTTCTAAACTTCCAGCATCCCCTTTTTTTAAATACAAATTTTCAATAGGTTCCACAAGTTATCCACATTTGGGTAGAAATTTGGAAAGAAAAAGTCATTGTTTGATTGTTTTGATTGATGCTGTTGTGCTTTTCCAGGTAATGGTTCATCTGCTTTCTGTTTGTGGACAGATTGAAGATTTATTGTTGCATTGTTAGGTTTTAACTGCTAAGATGTATTCAGATAGCCTTGTTCAACCAGGGATGTCTTTTAATTTTAAGTTAGTCTGATATCAGTTTATCATGACATGCAAGGACTGGCCCAGTTCTGTCATCTCTCGCACTTTCTCTGTATGCCTGCAGTGTTTTGTCTTCAAGGATAATGAGCATATTAAAATGGACCCTAGTTTCTAGTCTCTTTGCTTTTGACCTGTTAGTTTTCCACGCGCAATGTGTTTCTCCTATTTATGTTGCAACATATGCTGCACTGACTTTATTCTCCCATCTACAACTGTCTGATTGTTAAATGTTGAGCGTGTGTGGCAATAAGAGACCAATCATGAGTACTTGCCTATTTTTTAACTTGCATATTGATGATTTTAACATTCGGTGCTTTAGGCATTTCAAATTTTGTTCTATTTTGTTTATGCTAACTAC